GACAGCACCTCAAAAATATTTCGACAATACTTCGACTACTTATGGTATTATATATGAAAATTCTGAGTGGAAAGATCTGACTTTTTAAACAAAAAATCGAGGAACCAAGCGTATTCCTTTCCCAAGTGCAGTGCAGAGATGTAGAGGAATATCCATCAAGCGAAGGAGGGATTTTAGACAAGCTTGTGACTGGGAAGAACAGCATTGTGCCTGAAAACAGGCTGGAGTTTTGGAACTTTCTTCCAACTACGACCGATGATGATCTTGGAGACGATGAAAACTAAAATAACAATGCTATTTATTTACATGATCTATTGACTTGATACCTATGTCAGTTTTTTCAAGTAAAAATCATTTAAATAAGCTTATTTTGTGTTTTTTTTATCCCTGCCTCCAGGTAATCTTAAAATGCATAATGCTCCCATGGATTTTTCCAATCCAAGGGCTTCACTCTTAATTAAAGGTTGATATTTGAATTTATATTGGCTCAGTTACTGAAGTTTGAAAGTGAATTTAAAAAAATAAGAATAAATTATACAGCCAGTGAACGTAATTTTTACAAGACTTATTAAGGGGTAAGTGCATTTTACTAGGCATTTATGACTGTATCTACACAGATACCACTAAACATGCCAAGCAACATGTAGTTACGGCCAACAAGCTAAGTATTTAAACACAAGGAGTTCTCATAAATCAGCCGTAACTGCTATAAAAATCGTGCATTATGGAGTTTAAGGCTCATTTTGCATTATTTAAACAAACAAAACATCACAAAAAATTGGAATTTAAACTATAACAAAATTATGTATACATGACAAATGGCCAGCTCTCAAAATTTATTGTTGCTTTTCCACAAATCAGGTGAAGTGCAGTTACCACTTTTGTGCTTAGTAGGGCAGAATATGCAATCTACCGCTACTAAATAATTCCATAAATGCAATAATAATAATAATAATAATATATATTTATGCTTACATGGAAAAAAATTGCTTGCATTCGTCACAAAATATTACACATAAAAAAACTTAAACCTCAAAGTTATAGAAACAATTATTCAAAAGAAGTGTTTTAACTTCTAACTTAAGCATTTTCCAAATTTTTCATAGATTCTGGGAGATGGTTGTAGAATTTTAACGCCATCACTTCAGAGCTATTCTTGGTTTTGTCCAACCTGAAGAAAGGTATCCTGATATTTTTGTTACCCCTGGTGCAGTAATCATGAATATTAGATTGAAAGGTGTACTTTGAAATGTTAATTTTAGCGTGACAGAGACAACTTAATATAAAAATATTATACAACGCAATTGAATTGAAGTGAACCAATTGGCAAATCAGTTTAGCTTCAGTTAAAAGTACAAGTATATATGATAGGTATACTTACTTTAGGATAGAAGCGTTATTATATTCGACTCCTGCCTGCAAACAGGGCACTGCTTTTCAACAATTTCCCCCGCCGCTGTACGTTAGCCCCTGAGAAATGGTAGCCTTGCAGAGTGTCTCCTGCACAAACTGTGGCTGCATTTATTGAAACACAATTTCTCCCTTGAATATTTCTTCGAAGCAAACTGCGCATTTTAAGAAACTATCCCCGAGAGTTGTGGCGTTGTTGTGTGAAAAACGACAACGGGGTCGCGTGCAACCACCCCTGAGGTAGTCCTTACACCTCACGAGTCTCGATTCTATTCTGTGCAACTCCATCCTGATGTTTTCAGTTACAATCCATTGCTCACGGTAAAGCCCGACTTCGGCCTTACTACAATGGATGTACCGACACCCGTTGCCGTATGGGCACGTTTTATTTTGATAATCCCGGCAAAATTGAACCGCACTCATCACTTTCAATATGTAGTGAAGCAATAAAAATCAAAAAATTCTTTCTACTGCACTCTCACATGCAGCACTCAAAGCCAGTCCACCCCCTAGCGCGCCATATTGCCCATGCACACATGACACCATAAGTGAAAGAAAAGGTGAGAGAGATACGACAGATTAAAGCTTCGTTCACAATGCAAGAATTACATTTAATACTTAAGGGCAAGAAATTTCCGTTTTACGCGCAAACTACTCAATAGATGTCATCGTAAGCGATTTATATTTACAGTGACTTTATAGAGACCGTGGCGACAATATGGTGTCTAATTTTTGATTGGCGGTTGAGATCGGCGGCCATGTTCCATCAAATTCTGCCACAGCTTACTTAGTATTAGCACAGACAAAATACTACAGACGGCTCATGAGATATACGAAATGTTTGCGCTGAAAAAACATCCGTCTGCTAGCGCTACTGCCGTAAAATGTTCAAATGCTTAGCTCGTAAATGCACTTTTTTCATCGTAAACGAATGGTTGGAAACTGTACTGTAATACTGTTAAATAAATATGAGAAGGCATGCGTAATTTAAATGATTTAAAGAAAAGAATATCATATTTCCTTAAGTCAAAACACTTTATCTGTAGGTCAGGATATCCCATCTCAGGTGCATATTATAATTACGAAAGTTAGGACATTTGCAAATAAATTTTCTCGTTATTTTTTTACGGATACGGATTACAACGGAATGACACCATTTATTCAAAAATACATTTTCATGAGGTGGGCCATTTTCGCTGAGACGGAGCTCCTCCGTTTTTGCATTGTGTAACCATTTATTGTGGGATGCCGAATATGAACTTTGAATTAAGGTTTAAAGGGAATCGCATTACTTAACCGTTAAGGGATATAAAAAAAGACACGGCGTTTAAGCTTAACACTTGAACAGTTCATATACACCTTTTCTTTTCATAAAGACGTATTTTTGTGTTTTAAATAGTCTATTATTACAATTATTGTTTTAAATACCTAGATACTTGTTAGTTATAAAAATGGCCAAAGCAGGAAATGTTTGTCAATACTTTCAATGTGGTGTTTCAAAACGAGTGGAACCCAATCTAAAAATGTATGGATTTCCTTTTAAGGATGAAAACCTGTGCCGCGTTTGGGTTAATAATGCTGGTTAGTCCTTCTTGTTTCATTGATAGTATGAACTATTACCAATTAATGCTGCTATGAAGTTCGCCGTGAAAAATTGGTGGTTCGAAAATGAACGAATGGTATCTAATCCTTAATTCAAACGAATTGTTGTGTCGCAACTACTCTACGTGGTGAGATATACGAGAATCGAATGTTATATTATTGAAAATACTATACGCAGTTTAAGTAAACGGCATCAAAAATTCGCTATGTGTAATGTGTGTATCAATTTCGTTTGCAGAACCGAAGATAACTTTGTCATTTGTTAATGTTTGTTGAGGTTGAGGTTTTCAGGTTTCACTTTCTCATTACTGCGTGACTTATTTCCTACTTTTAAATGTTGCACATATAAAAGCTTGCCGACATTGTTCTTAAATGTCATCGATTTCGATGCAAACAATCTAATTTTGAGCTTTGCTGGTTTGTGATACCTACATTCAATTTAGAAGAAGGGTATATTAATCGCCGGAGGTTTTCCGAAATCATTTCGGTATACTATGATGAAGTTGACCGGCTGTGATTTTCTGGAACCGGATTTTCCAGAAACGGGAGAGATACCTTGAATCATCCAAACAAGTTTTGCTACACTGAATTCTGAAGAAGGTAATTCATTTATCTTTGGGGATTTATGCAGAATTTGTTTGGGGCTCTCAGCTCTCATCAAGTTGAATAGGTAGGTACCTTATACATTTTCGAACCCATTTTTGGTGACCAACTTCACGGTGGCCCAATTATATACAATCATCAAATAAATCTTCCCTATAGATAAAAAAGCACGTCTTTACAGGGGCTACACATCTGATTCCACTGTCACCGAATTCATTAAAAAATAAAAAAATCTGTGAAAAACATTTCCGATTGGAAGACTTCACAAAATCTTCCAAAGAAAGGCTCATTAAAGGCGCAGTGGTAGAATCCAAATTAACCGGATAAAATCGTAAATTGGTAAATACATCAATATGAAAGGAACGGTATTTTGTGAATTTTATCACCTTTTTGTGAAATTGATATCGGTTGTTGTAAAATAAGTATTTTCAAATGACTTTGGACACATTTAATTATATTGAGAATCAAATAAACAAATATAGAAAACGAGCTCCTGGGTATGGCTGTAGCATGTGCAAAACCAAATTTTAATCCTGATGTTAGTTTTGCTTTTATTTAAAATGTAATTGTATGACATTTCATTTAATTGCTTCCATAAATATGAAAGTTGGCACTGCGCATGCACAAAACCAAATTTTGAAACTGGCGTTAAATTTGCTTTTATTCCAAGTGCCCATGTATCAAATTTCATTTAAATACCTTCATAAATAAAAAGTTTGCAATTCAGTTTATAAATGGTCGAGATGCGAAAAGGGCATTGTGAATGTTGATCGATTAGGCTCAATTTTTGAAATTGCGTTTTATATAGCTAAATCTATATGCATATTGAATTTCATGCAATTCGGTTCATAACTCACAGAGATGTCAAAAGGGGCTTCCTTATTTTTTGGGCTACATTGCCAATTCACGAACTCCGATCTACAAATTTGATAAAGAATCCCTGTACTAAATTTTACTGTCATCGGTCCATTCGTTATCGAGATATCGTGCTAACGGACGAACTAGGGAATGCAATACCGGGATCCCGCGGGATTTGCGACACTGAGGAATTTGTCGACCAAGGGGCGACTCTTGTTTACTTTGTTAATGAAACTCATAACGGAGAAGTTATTTTTTAAATAATTGTTAAACTTTTTTCGTTAAAAATGTACCTACTATGATTTTTGAGGCACTTTAGTTCACCTTTTGTGCTTTACAGGTGAGGTTTTTTTGAGCTCTAAGTTAGGCTGAAGGTAATTTTTTGTTAAATATTGTGATAATTAGCGATTTGTTTTAATACAGACCGCACAGAATTGCTTATTTGCCAATTTATTTAAAATTTTGCGGAATCCCGCAAATACCGGGATCCCGCGGGATTAACTTCTAACAATCCCGCAAATACCGGGATGGAGATTTTGCTGCGGGATTGCATTCCCTAGGACGGACAGACACCGCAAAATTATAAACTCGCTAGGGCTCGTTAATAAAGCCATACTTCGCTTGCGATGACTGGTGATCAATCAAACTTGCTTGAATTTCAAACCATCGCCCAAAGTAGCATCGCATCGCATAAAATAAACGGAGGTTTGAATTTATCGCATTGCACAGCATTTCATCGCCCATCGCGCGATAGCCAGCTGTCTGAAAGTATATTAAAACGATCGTACGCCAGTATGGATTTTTTGAAATAACAAGAGTAGTATATCAAAGTACGTTCTGGACCAGGAAATGACGTCAGTCCAATGGGGAGCGTGGAAGTTGGTCACGTGGTCACGTGTGAGCCAATGGGAGCATATTTGTCGGCCATTTTGTGACGTGTTGATTAAACTTATTATGATCTGTACGTTCTGGGCCAGGCGTGACGTCACAGCAATTAATGAAAGAAAAAAAGATTTTTGCCGTTGCGAGGGTTTGAACCACGGATATGTGAATTACGAGCGTGACCGTTTAGCGTATTAGACCAGCAGCGTATTCGTGATATGAAGATTTAGAGGTTGAAGTATTGCGAGAAGTTTTGGCGCGCGATGCGTCGCCGGTGTGGCGATAGATCGTACGGCGTAAGGGGTACCCGGTAGGAGGTACCCCCTAGAAACTATAGATTTAAATTTCTTATATGGTTTTCTATAAGAAAAATCCCCACCAAAGTAGTTTGAAGTGTATAAAAGCAATAAGAAAATAAAAATCGCTTATATATCAAGATGAGTACACCAATATCACAGCAACAATCGCAAGAAGATTCATGGAGTAGCGAAGATGATGATGAATTTTTATCGACTTCTGCTAATAAAGACGAGCAAGGTAATGAATATCAACGATTATGATGAGAGCAAAATGATAAATATGTTAAATGTTTACAGGAAAAGAAACTTTAATAGCAGCATGGTCGTTATTCTTGGATGGAGGAATTATACTCGAAGTGGGGAGTTTACTGGAGGGGAATTTTTTCAATTCTGTTGTGCAAATATCTCATCCTTCATCTTCATGTTATAAAGACCTGCAGTATTTGCAATTTGAATGTTCTGAATGGAACGAAATATTCAGTTTTAAAACTGAGCACTTAATTCGGCAAATGCTACAGTATACCCCAAAAGGAAGGAGCAAGCATGAAATATTTATAGAACCTGAAATAATACTTGAAACGGAAGAAGAAGAGGAAGGCGAAAATGATAGATGTATTCGAATAAGTCACTCAGGTCGATCTATACTATTTTCCAAGAAAGCAATCGAGATGATATTTACCGCCTCCGAAGTCATTACTCAAAAATTGAATTTTGGTAACCGTTATACGATGTATTGTCTTTATGACGATTTTACGCGCGCGTTGGCTGAAATTCTACATACAGAAAATGTCACCGATAAACAGAAAGATAGTATTTTATCAAGAGGAAAATTTATATGTAAAAATCTCAAATTGTTAGCATCGCTATCCGCTTGGAAGGATAGATATGATAATTTGCAAGAATTTACTGTTCTAACAGAAATTGTAAACATTCACCCTCAAAAATTTATAAATATGGTTGTTAGTAAAATGAAGTTTTTGAAATAAACAGTTTTCGAGCAAAAAAATTTTATTTTTTCATCCATACCCATAGTTCAAGTGTACACAAACTTATTATATTAGTAATAGTAATTTCCTTTATTTAATGATCTAAATACAATTCAATATGTTTATCGAACTTTAAAAGTTTAGCTAATACATCATACAGTTGCTCTAAAACGCCTTTATTAGCACAATGAATATTGAATAAGGATAGATCAATGTCACCTGATTGAATTACACGACCTGTATATTCGCTATATTTATGAAATTTATTTCCGGCGATAAAGTATAGGTATCCATCCATGTATTTAAATATAGAAGTTAACTTGAGAGGGATATCTGGAAAGTCATCCGCAAATATTAACCGATTTTTAGGTTGATGACTACAATCATCGAAATCTATCAGTTCATTTACTCCGTGATAAATAAGCGTGCGTCCGGTATAGGTGTTTACTGCGGCATTCACTTTATGGCTATCTGGAATTGTGAAGCGCTTATAAGGCTGAGGCCATCCAGACATCAATTGTAAAGTAGGGAATTGTACTATGTAAATGTGACCGTCACTAAAGAAGACAACATCGCTGTTAGGTTTCTGATATATTGCTTCGAAACGTTTAAAAGATTTCGGAAGAAACGGTAGCCACTCAAATAGGTTCTTAGCGGACTCCACCTTGCTGCTGCTATTTAACGTAGATATCCAAACCCAATGTCCATAAAACATATATAGTCGTTTGTTTAGAATCAAAAAGTGTTCGATTTGAACGTTACACAGTTCAGGCGGTTTAACGGTCTTGCGAGTAGTAGTAGTCTTGCGGGTAGTAGCAGGTGTAGTCTTAATACGTGTTGAAAGATGATAAGTTTTATTATCCGGTGAACGTGAAGATGTAATAGTATCATGAGGATATAGTGCTTGGATTCCGGCGATATCATCCTCATGTAGGTTGATAGTATTTGGATTGTAATAAGGAAACATAAGCGCATTTTGATTGTTTGAATGATGTAATCCTAGAGCATGACCTATTTCATGTAATATGGTGTGGAAATAACTAGTATAACCAGGAGGAGGTGCATTTACATCTGCTCTATGCCAACGTTCATCCCAATCAATGTGAATTTCAACGACATGCTGATCTCTAGATGGAAAGTAGGAATGCGCCAATACATCACCCATTCCATCAAAATCAAAAATACATTGCGGATATGGCGGCAAAGCAAATGTATGCTTGCGGGAATGAAATGATATCAATATGTTCGGGTTTTGCGCGCTGTATTTGAATTTTAAATTTGAGTGTTTCGCCCAAACTTGAAAAGCTTCATCTGTCATCTGTAAAACTTTCACATCATGCATATTGGATACATAGTAAATCAAAGTCTGTTTTAACCATTTATACTGATGAGATGAGTCATATACGATGATGGATCATCAGAATTTCCGCATCTAGACCGAGATATGAGTTGTAATGTTTCCCCATTTAACCTGCCATCGCTAGGTAGTTTATAACGTTCTTGAAATTTCCTTAAAGCGCTGATCGTGATATTTATACGATTATCTTGAGTTGATTCACCATCACCAGGCTCCTTTATGTATCCATATTTAGCGAGATGACTAAACACCATATCGATTTCACGCTCACTGATTGTGTTTCTTTCATCATCATCATCGCCATCATCAACCGTATTAGCGTTGATACTAATACAGCATTGAAAAAGCAAAAAAAGTGCAATGACAGCAGTCTGCATGATCACAAAACTTATACTAATTCAAATTTTCTTTTCTTTTAAGGACCGGTAGGAAAGATATGTGGTAGGGGGAAATGATTACAGTAATAATCTTAATCTTTATTATTTATCAGAAAACACGTGTTACAAATTAGATTTTGCGCACAATGTTAGTGAATGGCTCATATTCGATTAATACATCATGTAAAATTACACAATAAGCGATGGTATCATGTGCAAATGCGGCTGATGCTTCCACTTCCAATTTTAAATCGATCACCACATTATGGATACTCTCATTTTGGCGAGTGCAATTGATAACGAAGATGGGCTGATCTTCGAACTCTTAATAGCTAAGAAGCGATCCCTCTTGCAAAGCGTCGTAATATTGATTTCGAAAATTTAAATATTCTTCGTAAGCGTCTACATACTTATTGTCGGTAAAGACCAGATTCTGCTGCTCATAAGGATATCTTCGATTGTTAATGTTCGCCTTTATATTGGAAACACTCAAATGATTAAACCTGCTCGCATCTGCTTCTTTGTTATTTCGCTTCTTAGTTTGGAACGCAATCAGTAGCCATTGAGGGCGTTGAAAACCAGTGCTGCTTTTTACCGACCAAACCAACGATCTGCTGGTGGGTAAGGTTGGGTATACGTAAAGGTCGCAAGCATGAAACGCCACTTGTATCGGCGAATTCTTGTTAATTCTTCCATAAATTGACAGCTTCATTGCATCGTTAGGAATTACGTATGGAACCTTCCATGTTACCTTCGTAAGATTAATCTTAACCTCTGTCTCTCCTTTATAGCAATCTCTATCATCCTTGGAACGAATTAATATCAGCTCTTGACGTATGTTAACTAGAGGCTTCTTGTATCCTTCGGCAAACCCAAGCACATGCTTTAGTGGTATGGAAGCGCAAAAAGCCGTCTTCGTGCTATTGAGGATCTGAGGAGAGTCGGCAGGACTCCATCCTGCATGCGATAAGCATCTGCTTTGGTTGGTCGTGTATGAGCAAAAACCCTTGATAGTGCTGTTTATCCCCGGCAATCGAACGATTTCTATCACCTGATCGCCCAAAATAAATCTAATTTCATCGAAGAGAAAGAGGGGCGCGTTGTTAGTGAAATCATAAGTTTTATTAGGCGTTGTTGGATTAAGCGTTCCCTCCAAGTATATGACGCTATCATAGGTGACTGTGATGAGATCCGCTTTCTGTATAACAAGATTGATCTCATCCGAGTTGTCGTAGGCGTTTGCGGAGTAAGGATGGTAAGTTCTACGATCACATTCCACGATCATATCCTCATACTTTACGCCCACGAATAGGTTTTTTAGTGCTTCTTCCATTCTTTTGTAGTACTTTGTAGCCGAGATATTGCAAAAACTGTACGTCGTCTTCGGTTAATGCACCACCACCATTTACACTCGTGTTGACTGATGAAGGATGACTAAGCGAAGAACCTTGTTTACAGAAAATTTTAAGCCCCATACTTTTTCAGCTCCAATCGAATAGTTACTTTTTCCTCACCAAAATCCACTAAATAACCGTTTTGGTCAACGAGCCGTAAGGTTATGTTATCTATTTGATGTGTGAGCACTGGTAAATATATAATAGTAGCTGGCTCCTTGATTAACTTATAACCAGGCTCAACGTGTACGTCAAATTCAAAGATGGTATGAGATAGTGCACTGTTTCTGTATGCTCCACCCGTTAGGTTGCACTCAACGTGTATATTTGTTGCGTTGATTATTTGCACATCTAGATCAGATTCATGGATTCTACCGCCTTCATACAATTTAGGAGAGAAACCGAGCATGCGACCGATGGAATCCGATTTCTAAAGTCGATATCATGTATGGTCTTCATTTCACATTTTAGCGTATTATTATTTGGTCTTAACATAAAGTCCATCGAATTGGTTGGTTCTTCGTTTATATGTTTCTGTAGAATCCTGTTAATCTCTTCAATTTCGTACGCACCACTCGGAATGGTAATCTCTTTATAGATGTTACTATCGGCAGGTGCATAGTAAAATTTATTGTTTCCTTTAAAGATATTGCGTATAGAATTACAGCCATAAAAACCCACCAATCCTAAACCATATTGTTGATTATGGTCTAGTTCAATTGGCGGAAAATACGATGTACTAAGAACGTTGCCTACGCCCGTTAAAGTGAACGTTCGAGACATGACTGGCAGGATAAAGTAAACACAACACTGTATAGAATTATTTATTATACAGAAAATTTAAACATAAATGGCCACATATCAGCGTATTATAATTTTGTTCCTTAACATAATTATATGTGATGCTGCAACCGGATAAATATTTGATTATTTCTAATGGTGGTGTTAAATTGCCGAAGCTATCGTAGTAAACCGCTTTCTTGCCGCGTTTCTTGAAAGCAACCCAATGCGTACCTTTTCCTTTCGTATCATCCAGGTTTACGATGGCACACTCGTTTAGATGAGGTTTCCTCGGTAATGAATCACGCATAAACACTCCTCTGAAGAAGGGTACGTCTTTGGCATACTTTACTAGATCCGAGTCCGTTAATGCTTTTCGCGGCAAGTTTATAAGTTTTTTGTTGAATACGGTTTCAAATATAAGGCGTATCCTTTGTTACGGGGTTTAAGATATAGCGAGCTGCCTTGTTTGCCTAACGAGGCTGCCTCCATTGTCATGTTATGTCGTTTATTTTCCTCCAACTGTTTTTTTGCAGTCGACGCATCGTTAACTGCTTTAGCTATACCACTAGCTCCACCGGCCAGTGCGCCCGCAGCCGAAAGACCGGCGAATAGTGGTACTAGAAATGGAAGAAAACCTCCTACTTTAGGTACCGGTATCACTCGAGGTACTCGCACTTTACGTTTACCGCCTGCAGCTTTAACCGCTTTCTTGGCGGCCACCAAACTCATTTTGATGAGTTTATTCAACTTTGTTGATGATGATACGCCTTTTACTAACTTTCGAATTGGATCTAAAACCCCTCCTCTAAATGAGCAAGTTTGCTTCTTCTTCCCACGCTTTGCTTTACGTCGTTTTGACCCCATTCCAAGTTTCCTTTTGGTTTTCATCGCTCCCGCTATGGCCAACGCGGCTGCTTTCTCTCTAAAACTAGCGTCTCGTGCCTTTACGCGATTCCAAGCTTGAATTTGAAGTTCTTTATCGGCTTGATGACGACTCTCAACGTCTTTGAATTTATTATACGCGATGTCGTGTTGCTGACACGCAGCGTCCAACGGATTTATTCCTGGATCACCGCGAGCTAAACGCTCTTGTAGTTTGGTTCCCGGTCCACAGTACTGATATCCCGGTATATGAAGTTCTACAGGCAATTTATTTATCAAGCTGTTTATAACACCCTTTCCTACTCGGTGATCAGCCATGAACTGATTAGTATAACTCAAACTGTGGAGTAATAATGAAGTTTATGAAACAGCCTCAGCGATTAGATGTTGAAGATCATGATTTTTATACTAAATCAGAAGTGGCGGGGAAACATGGCTCTTTATTTCCGGCGTCAATTAGGGCGGTCATCTGCGGACCATCAGGATCCGGAAAAACGAATGTAATGATCAGTTTGTTGGAAGCAACGAATGGTCTGAAGTTTGAAAATGTATATGTATACTCCAAATCGTTAGAGCAGCCAAAGTATAAATATCTAGAAGAAGTACTTAAACCCATCAAAGGCATTAACTATAACGCTTATAGTGATAAAGATGATGTAATAACCCTAGAAAATATTAGCAAGAATTCGATCATGATATTTGATGATGTTGCTTGTTTAAATCAAGACATAATTCGAGATTATTTCTGTAGAGGTCGGCATTCTGGAGTGGACTCATTTTATCTTTGTCAAACATATTCAAAGATACCGAAGCAGTTAATACGCGATAATGTAAACGTTATTGTTCTATTTAAACAAGACTATTTAAACTTAAAACATGTGTATGACGAGCATGTTGGTAGCGATATGACTTTTGAACAGTTTAAATTAATGGGTTCCAAGTGCTGGAAGCATAAGCACGATTTCATGTGCATTGTAAAGGATTTTGATTATGGGAGATATCGAAGCGGTTTTGATTGCTATATTACGGTTGAACAGTTTTGAACTGCTTTTGGACAGCACCGTTGAACCGCTTTCAAACAGCTTTGAAACCGTTTTTGAACCGCTTTTAACCACTTTTCGACCATTTGAACCGATTAAATAGTTTCAAGAGGTATTAAATTCGTTTAGTAGATTGCGAGCAGCCTGTTAAGATGAACGCAAAAGATCAGACTATTAAAAGAAAATTAACTAAAACTCGCAATGACATAAAACGTAAACTTGCGGCTCTTAAAAGGGGCGAAACCGAGACTTTCAGATTAGTAGAAGAGACTTATAAGCCTATAGTTGACCCATTGAAGGCACTAGCTAAGCACGAGTTGAAAAAACCAGAATTAATTCCAAAAATTGAAAAAAAAATTGAATATGAATCAACTCCAATGCGAGAACAATTTACAACGCCTCGCCGTGCTGAAAATACCGCAATTACTACACCATCTAATTTTCCGCCTGATATTAGTGAAATAGCGCTTAACGAAGAAAAAGAAGACAGTGAACCGGAGGAAACTTCGATTAGCAACTTATCACAGCAGCTACATTTTCTAGACGAATACCATCATTTACCTCGTCAATATATCGAACGGTTGATTAGGGATACAACAGGAGACACTGATAACGTTTATGGTCTTCGATATGACCCCGGATCCAATGAGTGGGTTATTGGAGACTCTACAGTAGCGTTTGAAGGTCAAGATATTTCCATAAAAGATACCCTTTATACTGGTACTCCAGGGCTATATGAATTGCTTGTATTGAAGAAGCCAAAATCATACTCCTTCAAGGATCGTCAGTTGTATAAAGATATTTTATTAGCTACTAACGCATACAAACGGAACTATGACCCTCGTCAACAAATGATGGGCACCAAGTCATACAAATACGTTAATATTATTAAACCGTTACTATCAGAGCATTTTGGAGCGGGTATGATGAAAGAGGTTAACGATAAACTAAAGGAGTATGTGTATTGGAATACTCCTCACGAACTAGTCGAACGTCTCAGATTGTTACACGCATCGCAAGCGGCCGGTCATACCGGACACAACAACGAGATTTTAAGCATTGAAGAAGAGCTCCGAGAAGAAGGTATAATCGCCTAGCCTGAAAATGAGCGTTGACAAGTTTGGAAGACATTCGTCATCAAGATTATATAACCATAATACCCTACAATTTACCGATACCGATGATTATGATATGCAAAACAAGAGAATCTGTAACGTCGTCGATCCTGTTAGAGACAACGATGTTGCCACCAAACAGTATGTGGATTATTGTATTAAGAACTTTACAACCCAACAATACAATATGCGTGGTAATCGGTTGAAACATCTAGCTGATCCGGTGAACGATGATGATGCCGTAACAAATGGATACCTACGCATGGCATTTAAATCGTTGAAGACAATCATGGACGGTCATCTGAATGCTATATACGAAATAGGGCACCACTTAAATGAAATTCGCGCAAAACTGGGTATGCAGACTTTCGACGAATTAATAATGCTTAAATCTCCGCCATTTGTTGGTAGTGTTTTAGAAGATGGCGAAGATCGGTGTTGTTGAAGAGTTACACAGATCGGCGAGAAAAAATTTTAAACGAAAAAGAACGATAATCAAACATCGTGATGATCTTTGGCAAGCTGATTTGGCTGAATTCACGCGATATTCTAAAGATAATCAAGGGCATAAATATGTGTTAACCGTGATTGACTGCTATTCCAAATACCTATGGACACGCCCTCTAAAATCAAAAAATGCTAGCGAAGTGAGCAAGAAGATGGCGTCGATTATAAGTGAGGGTAGAATTCCTAACAATTTGCAAACTGATCATGGGAAAGAATTCTATAATAAAGATTTTCAAAAGCTTATGATGTTGCATGGGATAACACATTATTCAACTTATAGCGTAAAAAAGGCTTCGATAGCGGAGAGAGTGATAAGGACCTTGAAGAACACCCTCTATAAACGATTCAGTCTTAGAGGTAAATACAAATGGATTGATGTGTTGTCGGAAGTAACTTCTAAGTACAATGATACTAAGCATTCCACGATTAAAATGAAGCCTAAGAATGTAACCTCCGAGACCAACTTACCCATGTTTCATAATATCAAAGTAATGGGGTCGATTAAATTTAAAATTGGCGATTTCGTTCGAATCTCCAAATACAAATCTATTTTTGCAAAAGGCTACACTCCAAACTATTCTACGGAACTATTTAAAGTTGTTAAAGTGAATGTTGGTAACCCTGTTACTTACCTACTGGAGGATTTATTAGGAAAACCGATAATGGGTCAATTTTATGCTGAAGAAATGCAGAAAACTGCTCATCCAGATGTCTTTCTTGTGGAGAAAGTGTTGCGTCACAAGGGGAACAAATTATATGTTCGCTGGCTTGGCATGGATAAATCACACGACTCTTGGATTAATAAATCAGACTTTGTATAATATAATGATAATTTCATACATGTATTTATAATATAATTAATACTTCTAGTTTTTCTAATTCTATTGTACTATATAAATAAATAAATAAATAAAAAACAGATAACAAAACATTTATTCTAAATCCATTTTATTAGGAACATCATAATGTCCCCATGGTAGTGTATCGATTCCATTTGGTAGCGTGAACCTCTTGTCATCGATATTGCGTAACGCAACTTTGGATTGCGCCACGCTAAATACCCTGTGGTTTTTTGATATTATGCTGCTTTGGGAGACTTTTTTATCTTTTCCACTTCTTAAACACTTTAAATAATCATCAAAACTTATTCTATTTTTAATAACATTACCCTTAATACCTTTTACTTTTCTAATATCCCTATCTCTAGTTCTATAAGAATACATTTTTGACGCTAAAGCCGCCCACTCTGTTATCACTGCTCCGCTCAGTTCATCTTTCATCAAACCGATCACCTTAGCATTGCGCCTTGGAATGTTATATTCGTTGTTTTCAGAGAATTCAGATGTATCAAACCTCTCAATATTGTTTCGAATCAGATCGTATACATCATCACATATTAACTCGTAAACCAGGCTATCGGTATCCATGTACAAGACTTTCATCTGCTCATCTGTAAATTGTTGCTGCATGAAATTGTAATGAAAATCATACATTAGGGTTTTAGAAATATCTAGAATTGCCATTCCAACATAGAGAGGCTTATTCATGACTATTTCAACCTTGGATAGCTCGATAGCCATCAATTCCTCATCGAAAATTTCCCTGCTATGAAAATTAGGTTGAGAAAGATAGTAATTAGCTCCATATCTACCATTCCATCGTGTAACAAGTTTGATAATCTTATGGTTTCTCACATTCTCCATGGTTTTTCCGAAATTTGCATTATTTAGTAGCTTATACAAATTTTTTTCGAACGGATTACTTGTCTGTGATCGCAACCGCGTGTTTAAATCTATATACGACTTAAGCCAACGAGATTGATTGAAGCTTATCGCACGATGAATTTTTTCGAGCACAAGGCCTGCTTGAAGACATTGTTTTAAATTACGATAGTGAATCACATATCTAGTTTTAGGTTCCAATGTTGCAAGCAGCTTTTTGAATTTACCATTAGGTGGTTTACCATGCTCCGCACAATACGGAATATATTTATGATTGTTATGTAGCTGTCTAGGATATGCTATATCTACCTCCAATATAAGACCTTCATTTGCGTTATCAGATAGATTCATCACCGCTTCAGGTGTTAATGATTTTAATTTTGCCTCGCTAAGCCATTTAAAATTATTCTGAGGTAAACACTGACTTTGAGCCCAACCATATAAATTAACCATATCCATATAAAGGATGTGAGAAGAAGGTTTATTTACATCATAGTTTTCAATATACTTGTTATTAGCCTTACTATATTTTGTACAGCACTGGGTTATCCCGCCTCGTATACCCTTTTCAATGAATAAAACCATATCTATATCTGACAGAAGGTCTAATTTCACTTTTGTATAATTGAGCATACATTGCCATGTATACCCAGGAGCAGTAAAGAAAAATGCAGGCTCTAACTTATGGGTTATAATACACTTTTCTCGAAAATTTGTAAAAACGTCACTTAGTAAAAGCACATCTGTCATTAGATAAAGATCGCTATATTGACCTAAATTTTGAATGTTGAATTTTCGCCAAACGTTTCGCGCATGCATGTATTCTGCTTCTGAAATGTGTGATTCTGTTAACTTGCTGTAAAACTGGTTTTTATCAGGTAAAGAAGATTCTTGGAATTTCGTCCAATCGTTTATATATTCATAGGGATAAACGCCTTTTCTGGTTAACAACTTTAACTGCTCATCGCTTAAATGACTTAGCGTACCGCGTAAAATTTTAAAATCATCAAATTTTAGATAGGATGATAGTTTCTCTAACGATTCATTCATAAAACGAAAAGAATCTACAAATCTAAATTGCACATCAGTATCTATCATGCATTTGGTAAACGAGATGTAGCGTTCTTTATTTTTAGGCAACAGTTTAATTTTACCGGGAATAGCTTGAGCAAGGTTCTTTATAATGAAATGGCTATCATACCCGCTAAAATTGTGAAAGAATAAGGGGATAATATGAGGGGTCTTATAATTTAGATTACATTGTTGATGTGAAGCTCCTCGCCATTGTCCTGAAAAATGACAGTGGTCCTTAACCTTAACTTGCTCCTCTAATATTGGAGCTTCACAAATATGACAATGAGTGGCCGCATTAAACGCTAGCTTTTCCATATCACTTAATGGTTTCATTGGTACAGGATTATCAAAATATTGTTGTAAAATGCCTCCAATTTTCACTAATTGTTCGGTAAACCAATTAATACAGTCCTCACCTCTTTTCATTTCAAGTTTCGATAAAGAGTTATCAAACGTACAATGGAGATAATATGCAATACTACACACGATATGCTCTTTATATTTGAGTGTGTTCCGTGTCTCATCTCCGTGAAAATCTTGAACTAAACATTCTAAATCGCAATACATGATGAAAGGAGCGGTCTGTTTGAATTGATAGTCTTTAAAATGTACGGTAGTACCTGGTTTTGGCATTTCTAGCCTACATTTGTTCATCTGCTTGCAATCCGACTCATGTCTGCTCAATTTCGTTTGAGAATTAAAATAGTGGAGACACCTATCGCAAATGTATAATTTTCTGTTGTTCCTCGTTAACTGTGAATGCACTAACTTAGACAAATTTTTGATCCAGCAAAAGTGGAATTTCGCAGCTTTATCTCTATGATCATCAACGTTGTCATTATTATTATTATTATTATTATTATTATCTTCAATTTCATAATCATCTTGGATCATTAATAAATTTACATGCTGTTCTTTTTTATTTGATGATAAGTAAAAGGGGACGGTGATGTAATTAGAGACCGATTTTCGGATAAGCCCATAAACGTTAAGTGATAAATGAGCATTTTGTTTTTCAAATTTAGGAAGTTGGCTTAGAGTCATAGGAAAATTAATGTCTTGAAAATTTAGGATTTCAGCATAATAAGGATATGAGGAAACACGATCGGAATGTTGGGACACAGGGAAAAGAGCTGAAGATAAGGCCCATCCGAAACAAGCCTCATCGTTATTTTTAACGTTGATGACCGCATGTTTCACTTTAACTTCATTAGGTAAATCGATGTACGATGAAGCTTTTACTAAAGTTGTACTATTAGCGTTCACAGTTAACGAAATAATTCGCGATAAAGCCCACCCACTCTGCTGTTCTTCGAAATCAAGCAAACGATTCATTAGATAGTCTACTACGTTTGAATTAAATAATTTTTTCAAATCTTCCTCCTCCAAATTACAATTTAAAATAAGAAAATTTCTTGTATTAAAACTAAATTCTCGAGCATCTAAGTCTAAATTATCGCTATTTGAAGATGATTTAACAAATTCTGCACAAAATTCACAATTTACTTTTAAAGGTTGATTATACTTGTTAAAAATATGTCTAATCTTATTTGAAAATACTTTACTACTATCACTAAAAAATGTTCCTAGTGTTTTATGGCCCGAATTAATAATAATGCCTGTGCTCACCCTTGACTTAAAGGCTGTTACTAAATCCCTCCATTCCACTAATGGTCTTGCTTCGAGGGATGTGCCGGATATAGATG